CAGTCTGTCTGTCTGAGTTTCGTGGCAAAACCGAATGCAGCTCATCTTGCCTACACTAGAAGTGTGCGTGCGGGGCGAGGTGCCTTTTTGTTTGGCGTTTTCCTCAGCCTTTCCAAATAGGGGGACAGAAAACGAAGCCCTCGCGGTAGGGGGCTAGAAACCGAGAAAAACGGTATGGGACGGAAAAAAGAATCCCCGGTTGGAGGATGGACTCCGACTGGTGCAACCGTCCCCGCGCCTGCACTGCACTTTACCCAGCTCGCCGTCACGGCGGCGTGGCGGGGGCGATCCATAATTGACAAGCTCTATTTTCTAGTCACTGATTTCCCTCGTGCCTGACGACAACCCCTTTCCCCACCCTCCTGACAACTTAAACCGCTTTAGCAGTGCCCTAGCTGCCCTCGAAAGAGACAATGACCGTTTGCGGAATTCTATCAGAGGTCAATTTGAGCGAATGGTCCGCTGATGGCGCAATTTGAAATGCCCTGCTGCGAGGCTAGCGATGGCTCGCGGCCTCTCCCCTTCATTTCGCCCCGTTCTCCCCCGTTTCCGGCGGTGCGTTTGACTCGCACTGTGCTGCCGCGGTCAGCGAGCCGGCCAGCCTGCAAATAGACCAATTGAACCGCGCAGCGCGCCTGTGAGTCTAGCCCTTAATGGTAATTGTAGTGGGGGGGTTTTGAGGCGTCTCAGTGCATCGGTTGCCTATCCTCCTGATGGCAGGGGCTCCAAGCTGGCAGCAGTTTTTCAGACCGGAACTCAAGACCCCAGACTGAGTGTCTCGGTCCAATCACGCAACAACACAATACGTTAAAGCCAATTTCATCGTTGGAGCGCGTCAAATGAAACGACGAAAAGCATGTCGTGAAGGTGTTCAACTTTTTTTTGTCCTGCTTGTGTCCTTTTACCGGCCTACCACCGGAGAGGAGAGTAAATAAAAGGAAGGTCATTCCGAGTCTGTCCCTCTCGCTCGCTCTCCCTGAGCGGCGGGAACAAAATGGCCGCCGGTGTTTCCGTCGGTTCGCCGTGCCACGTTCACTTTAGTAGAGAGCCCACAGCCACAGACGACGCGCATCTTTTTTTGAACCAATTCAATTTTGCAGCTCCCGACCCGAGGCGCCCCCGGCCGATGGGTGTGGCGGTGGCGCGGGGGCGCGCTGCCATCGGATGCACTCCGTGTCTTTCGGCAAATTCGTACTCGGCGAGACACTTGCTCTGACCTTCCACAACATGATGACAATTCTTCATACATTATTAAGGTGGGGCGCTGCTGCTCAAAACTGCAAGAGGCTTGCGCCCAGTGAGCCAGAGGACCGCCTCCGGTGGCGAAAATTCTGGGCGCGTTTTGAGCTTCCGAGTCGCTGAATAGGAGTCGAACCGAACGTGTGACCCCACCAATGGATTCCTCGTTCGGAGAGCAATCCATTGGTGGGGTCTTGTGTTCAGTCCGAGTTCCTTTTAGCGACTCTGGAGCTCAAAACGCGTCCGTTATTTTAGCCGCCTCCACCGGTCTTCTGGCCCACTGTGCCTCGTGGGGTGTTTGACGTGCGGGTGAACTGGGCCGTTGCAGATCTTGATTCCGTTGGCCACGCGGGCAACTCAAGCACAAACCATTAAAATTTTGCTGGTGGCGGAGTTCCCTGTTGCACCCCCCTTTCGGGTGACAAACGTGGCTTGGAAAAAATAATGAATGCCCCCCCCCCCCCCGCTTTTTTAACACACACACTCTCACACATAAATACACACATACACACACACATGCACGAGCACACACACAGGCACGCGGGGTGCTGTGAACACGCTTCATCCCTCATGTGGTGTGTGACTTACCTGCAGACCCCCCCCCCCCCCCCCCCCCGCCCACCCCCCCGCCCCCCCCTTTGGGCCCGGGGCCATGACCCCGCCCATTACGGCAGGCATTAGTGAGACATGGCCCTCATTACTCTGTGAGTAGCAGGACATCAGATCTGGCGAGGAAGGCTACACCGCCTGCGAGGCAGTTTTCTTTTCCACAAAATGTTCTTCGAGATAGGATTTCACAAGGTGTACTTTCTTGCTTAATTTTCGTTTCCAATTTTTGTCTCAGTTACATTTTACCTTACGACAGCGGTTGCTTCAATAAATTTTTGCATTTCAAATAAAAACAACAAAGACAACTTCTTCATTGATCTTTCTTTTGGTTTTAAGTAAGCCCATTTTAAAAATACCCTTTTTAGAAGCTAAAAACGGTGCTTGACACGCGAAATGTTTGGCGGTGTGACGGGAACGGATTAGGCACTCTGGTGCCATTAGGTCAGGAAAACGGACGCCGAGACGCCGAGACACAATGGCGCCTGCTTCGCCTGTTTTGTCCGGCTGCGGAGCATTGTTGCGGTGGAGAGAGAGAGAGAGAGAGAGAGAGGACGGGCGGGCGTCTTTTGTTTGTGTGGGACACTGTGGAACACTGCGGGGCACTGCTGGACAGTGTAGGAGAACGGTGTAGGGACCCCCATCACACTCGGCCGCCCTGGCCTTCGGTGGCCCCGCGCCCGTAAAGAGACCTCGCGCGCCCCCTTCCCGGGCCCTTTCCCCGTATTTGATACCTTTACCGCAGTGGGCCCCAAACCCCCCTGGACCAATTCCCCTTTTGAATCCGACGCAATGGGCCAACCGGTGGGCCCCAAACTTAACGGGGGCCCAAAATCGCCTTGGGCTAAAGCCTTTTTCCCCAAGGGGTTTCTTTTATGCCCTTGGGAAGGGCCTAAATGGTTGGTTTTTCCCAAGAAAATTTTAACCCCTTCCCAAGGGGCCAAAGACCTTTGGGGGGCGTAAATTTTTAAACGCTTTGGGCTATTTTATGCCTTGGTTTCAACCAAGGGGCCCCACCAATAGATTTCTCTTTCGGAGAGCAATCCATTGGTGGGTCACACGTTCGGTTCTAGTCCCATTTAGCGTCTCAGCTCAAAACGCGTCCGGGCGTCGGGGATTTTGCCCGCTTCCACCTGGCCTACTTCGCATCGGTGTCGAGATGCATCAAATGCATGGCATTCTGTGTCCCTCTTTAATTTTTACATCTCACCTTTCTGTTGCAGAGAATCGAGTGGCGGTCGGCGGGTCCTCACCGAGACCTGTGTCTCCTCAAGGGCAAGCTCGAGGTAAGTCACTGCCAGTTTTGTTTTATTGCTCCCTTTTTTCCGGGGGAAATTTAAACACGCGGCAGTTTTTCATGCAGGTCCTCTGTGTGTGTGTGTAAGAGAGAGACAGAGAGAGACAGCGTGTGTGAAAGGGGCAGGGACGTTGTTGGCTTTATACTCGCGTTGCTGGGGACAAGGAGGAGGGGATTTCTCCTTTTCTGCGACGCTTTAAGGGCAACCGCAAACAACCACCATAACACACACACACACACACACACACACACACACACACACACACACACACAATGCGCATAGAAGACACGCACGCTCACGCACGTCGTTTACCGTCCTCCTCAGCGCATGAAAATATTTCCCGGCGCCCACTTGAACCCCGTGGCCGTTTGGCAGGTAACACCCTGTCCATTCGAGGTACCCCCTTCCCCCCACCCTCTTTTTTTTCGGGCTCCTCCCCTTGGCACTTCCTCCAGTCATACGACCGTATTATCACGAAAAGATCCGGGAGGCTCTCTGGCCGGGGAGAGAGGGGGGGGTAGGGTCGTTGAATGGCTCCGGCGCGTTTTCCGGGGTGTAGAGGCTGTTTCTTCCTCACATTTCCGGTACTTCTGGGCTGTTTCCGGCCCGGTCTGTGACTCCGGTGCGTTCGGGGTCGCGTGGCGGCGCGGCAGGGCGCGGCGGCGGGGGCGGCAGGGCGTGGCGCAGCGGGCCAAATTTCTAGACTGGGTTTGCCCAGAGTCGCTAAATGGGACTCGAACCGAACGTGTCACCCCACCAATGGATTGCTCTCCGAACGAGCAATCCATTGGTGGGGTCACACTCTTCGAGTCCTGCTTAGCGACTCTGGAGCTCAAAACGCGTCTAGGGTTCTGGCCGCCTCCACCGGTCTTCTGGTCCGGGTCCTTCTGGACAAATCTCCCAGACACCCCCCCCCCTTTTCTCTACGAGGCGCCCCGTCCCGCGAGCGTTCCCGCCGGTGTATAGTCCGTCCCACTCCGCCTGGCCCCAGCCCGGCCGCGCCGGGACTCCCCATGGGAGGGCCAGTCGGGCGCGAATATTCATAACATTTGTATAGTTGGCGCTCGCGCCGGCGGGTCTAGGGTCATGATTAAGTAATCGGAGGGGCGCCGCGGACAGGTGGACCCCAAGGAGGGCGCGCGCTGTCTCTCTCGCACCGGCACGCCCGCGGGTGAGAGAGAGAGAGAGAGAGAGAGAGAGAGAGAGAGAGAGAGAGAGAGAGAGAGAGAGAGAGAGAGAGAGAACGAGTCTGGGCGGCGGGGCCTCGGCGGGGCCCCTCATTGCCTTAATTAATAGTCCACGAGGTACAGTGGGCTGGCTAGGCCGGGCTAGGCCGTCTCGCCCCAAACTCGCAGCTCGCCCGCCTTGTTCCCACCTCGGTTTGACTTGGGTGATTGGTATCAACTCAGTTGGGTCGTGGGTTCGAGACCCGCCCGCAGCGCGGCAAGGCGCGGTGCGCAGCCAGACGGCATTATGCCCGTTACCTTGTTGGCCGAGTTCCGTTCCCCGTTCCGCCGGGGCGAAAGGCGACGGCACGTGTAACTCGATCCGCGTTCGAGACATCGACTAACCGGGGCACTGCACGCGGCGCCCTGGGCACAGTGGGCCAGAAGACCGGCGCAGGCAGCCAAACCTCTCGACGCGTTTTGAGCTCTAGAGTCGCTAAGCAGGACTCGAACCGAACGTGTGACCTCACCAATGGATTCCTCGTTCGGAGAGCAATCCATTGGTGGGGTCACACGTTCGGTTCGAGTTTCATTTAGCGACTCTGGAGCTCGAAGGGCGTCCGGGATTTTGACCGCCTCCTCCGGTCTTCTGGCCCACTGTGAGCCCGAAAATCTATCTGAAGTTGGGAGCGCTTGGCAACTTGGAGTGATTACGCGATGATGATGACGACATCGCGTCGCGGTGACACTGATGAAGGGGTTGGGGTGGAGGGCCCCGCGCCAGGCCCTCGCGAAGATGACGGTCTTGATGGACGATGCGAGCGCCTACAATGACTCCCTCCCTCTCCTTGTGGGCCTACTAGTCGGCCTTGCGGCACGGGGCCCACTTACCCATCTTTACTTACCCCGCCCAGACCCGCGCACAGCTGTTATCATCCTAACTGGATTCACTCCGGAGACTTACCTCAACGTAACCTCTGCTTTTGCCGCGACACGTGACTTACCTCACAACTTACCTCAACTTACTTACTACTTACCACGGTCGTTAAGTTTTCAGAGGCAACCTCAGCTTACTTCCCCACTAATGCTCTCACTTACCTCAACTTTCCTCAACTTATTTTCACTTACCTCAACGTACCTTCACTTACCTCAACTTACCTTCACTTACCTCAACTTACCTTACTTACCTTCACTTACCTCAACTTACCTTCACTTTCGTCAACTTACCTTCACTTACCTCAACTTACCTTCACTTACCTCAACTTATCTTCACTTCCTCGACTTGCATCCACTCTCAACTTACCTCACCATCCAATCACCCGGTAACGTTACCCCACCCAACTTACCCAGGTGGGACTCGCCCCAGCGTGCTTACCCTTACCCCATACATGCCGACGCCCTCCGATTGTGTGTGCCGCCCCACCGCGCCCCGCCCCGCCCCACCCTCGTCAAGTCTAAGAGGCCCTGCTGCTCGGCTCGCCTCCTTTGATCACAGTCCGAACAATAGCCGCATTCTCTGTGATATATTATGAATTACTTGGCCCCTCTGCTGCTCCCCGCGCTGCTCCCACCAATCGCGTATATCTATAGATAGAATTCCGAGGCGGCAGGTTTGCCAACCAAACAGTGCGCTGCGCGCCGGGGCGCGGTTAGGTTGGCCAATCTGTCTGCTCCGGTTTATTGGTCCATTCCGCTGTGCTCATTTTTCCTCCCTCCCGCCGTGTTCCAGGATGACTGCCAGAACTACATCCGGGTCCTCGCCAAAATCGAGAAGAACAAGATCCTGGTGTGCGGTACCAACTCGTACAAGCCGCTCTGCAGATACTACGCCTACAAGGTGAGTCTCCGCGACAACCGTCGCTCCGTTCGAAGCCAAATCAATGACGTTAACGAATATCGACCCGTGACTGTCTTGTTTCGGAAATTCGACACAATGTAGGTTGCGTGGACCTTTTTTTTATAGCGAGATTCTCGAGCAATGACATGAAAATTCTACTCGCGTTGCAACTGCACTCCTCGTCTCTGAGGCGAGCTGGAGAGAGAGAGAGAGAGAGAGAGAGAGAGAGAGAGAGAGAGAGAGAGAGAGAGAGAGAGGAGAGGAAGGGAAGGGAGCCTCTCCCCCCTCCCTTCCTCCCCCTCCGCTCTCCTCTCTCCCTCTCTCTCTCTCTCTCTCTCTCTCTCTCTCTCTCTCTCTCTCTCTCTCTCCCCTTGCTCTCTCGCGCTCAAAGGACGTGGAGGCCTTTTACCTTTGGCTGGCTGTGGCCGTTGGCGCCGTTGGCGGCGTTGGCCGTCTCCAGGGACAATTCCACAGTGTAAGCGCCCTCCTTACGCCCTGACTCGGTTCCGGAACGCTCCCGGATCCCCGGGGCCCCTCTAGCCCGTCGTACTTCTACCCCCCTGCCTGCCTGCCTGCCTGCCTGGCCGCCTGGCCGGCCCTGCATCCAAGGGACGCCCTGGAGTGCTGCAGCCTGGCGGGCTGGCGGCACGGCGGCACGGCCGGCCCGATCGGGTTGGTTAGTTAGCCAGTCCCTCCGAGCTTCCCGCCCGCCCAACTGGCTAGCCACTTGGCCAGCAGCAGACAATCGACAGGCGGCGTGTTGACTCTGTTACCTGGGCAAAGTTCAATCATAATGGAGTCGAGTCATTTCGAGGGACTGTTGACTCCGCCGTCGACCAGGACCAGGGAGTCGCCATTGTTCAAACCGAGCACCGCGCCGCCGCACAGTGGGCCAGAAACCGGTGGAGGCGCCCGAAATTATGGACGCGTTTTGAGCTCCAGAGTCGCTGAATGGGACGCGAACCAAACGTGTGACCCCACCAAGGGTGCTCTCCAACGAGGAACCCTTGGTGGGTCACACGTGCGGTTCGAGTCCCGTGTAGCGACTCCGGAGCTCAAAACGCGTCCGGGATTTTCACCGCCTCCACCGGTCTTCTGTCAAATCCTTTGTACGTCACCGACTCGTCAGTCGGTCGGTTCACCGCCAGGACTCCCCCAGGACTCCGTTGGGCGAGAGCGAGGGCTCAAAAAGGACGCGGGGGGCCCGAGTTCAAAACCCCAACCAAGTCAGGCGCTTTTTGTGTCCCTTTGTTGTTGTTGTTGTTTTGGGCCGAGATGCGGTATGTTGGAAGGTGCCGCCAAAGGGATCCCTCTCTAAGAGTCACGCGGAAACTTTTCATTCGTGTGGAGAGCCAGTTTTTGTTGCTTTGTTGTTTTGTTTTTGTTGGGTGTGAGGCTTGTTTGTGTGGATCCCCGTCCCACCCCGCCCCGCCCCACCCCGCCTTTAATTCATTAACGTTCTCCAGCCGATAATGCGACGCGCCGAGCTGTCACAGGCCGGAACAAAACAACGTTTTTTTTTTCGCTGTCTTGTTGGTTTTTTTTTGCGGGGGCAGGGGCTGTAATTACCTTGCGTGAAGGGAAAATAAAAGGACTTACGCCCTTTATCTGCGGTGCTCCTGGAAGCTCCTGGAGGTCCTGGAAGGAAGGTAGGCAGCCAATAATTGGCATCTAGCCCAGACAGCTCAGTTAAGCCCCGTGCAGCGAGCAACCGCCGCCATGGCGCGCCATCCCCCGCCCCGTGGGAGCGGTGCGGGGCGTATGGTGGGGTGGGGCGGGGTGGGGGGGGGGAGGCACCCCCCCGGGGGGTCCGAGGCCGCCTTATGTTGGCGGGGAACGGGTGGCCGGCACCACGGAGCGTGATTGGGGGAAACTCAAAGATTCGGGCGAAAACTTGCCGCCACGCTAGCGTCGCTCGCCTTGCCTCGCCTCGGCTCGCCTTGCCGGGCCCGCCGTCCCAGACAGAAGACAAAGGGTGGGCGGCGCGGCGCCGGCACAGTACGACACACATGGGGGAAGCATCCCCCGGGCCGCGAGGGCTTACCCGTCATGGTTTTCGGTTTCGACTTTCCCGGCGCGGACCGTCGGACTGTGGGCCAGAAGACCGGTGGAGGCGGACAAAACTCCGGACGCGTTTTGAGCTCCAGAGTCGCTAAATGGCACTCGAAGTGAGCATGTAACCCCACCAATGGATAGCTCTCCGAACGAGGAATGCATTGGTGGGGTCACACGTCCGTTCGAGTCCCATTTAGCGACGCGCTCGAAGCTCGTCTAGAATTTTGGCCGCTTCCCGGCCTTCTGGCCCACTGTGTGGGGCCTACCTGCGCGGCGCGTGGTTTTGACTGCGGCCCCCCGCGGCCGCGGCCCCGCATCGCCTCCTGACTCACGGCCAGCAAAGTTTCCACAAAGCAGGGTGCGCTTTTGGCAAGCATAGCAGCTAAATGACTTCGGCCCGGGTTCAAATACTGCGCACTTTTTCTTTTATTCCAACACTCCGACTTTACGGTGCTGGAGACCTCATCGGCGGCGGTGACTGGGAGCCCGCTTCGCGTCCCGGGGAATGAATTAGTGTTTTAAAAGCAGTTTGCAGTTTTTGAACTCGCAGTCTCACAATGTCTTCCCTAATGAAACTCCGGCTGACGGATGCACGGTGGGCTGACCCGGGCGGGCTGGCCAGGCCGGCGGTGGCGGGCACACCCACGTTTATGTGACAGTTATAACGCACTCGCTCTCGGCGTAAATCGTGGACGCCAGCGAACAGCACCGCCCCACAGCGGGCCAGAAGACCGGTGGGGGCGGCCGAAACTCTAGACGCGTTTTGAGCTCCAGAGTCGCAAAACAGGACTCGAAGCGACCGTGTGACCACACCAATGGATTCCTCGTTCGGAGAGCAATCCATTGGTGGGGTCACACGGTAGGTTCTAGTCCCATTTAGCGACTCTGGAGCTCAAAACGCGTCTGGGACTTTGACAGCCTCCACCGGTCTTCTTGCCCTCTGTGAGTCTGTCCGTCCGTCGCTCACCCGTTGACGTCTCATTATTGTCTAAAAACTATTTGCAAGTCGCGGTGTCAGTGCGGCGCTGACGGGACGCGCGTGTGAGCTGACGCGCGCTGACGCGCGCTGACGCGGCCTGAGGCGCGCTGACGCCTGTCGAGCTGTCGGGCCAGGCCGACCCCAGGCCGACGCCAGGCCGACGTCAACGGGGAGGTCGTGGCCGCCGAGACGGAGCGCTGCAAGACTGACTGGAGCAGTGCCGTGCGGGTTGCCTGACAGCCGAGCGCAGCGCGCAGTCGGTGGTGTCATTGGAGAAGGTGCGGGGAGGGGGCGGGGTGTCAGCGGGCGTGTCAAAACGCACCCCCGCCCCTCCACCAACACGCCAAGACGGCGCCTCGCCTCTCCCCCGGACGGCTCGCTTTGGTCTCATTATCATACTTGCACGCACGTGGCGTGGCGTGGCGTGCTGGGTCGGGGGTGGGTTCGAAACACCGCGGCCGTGCCCGTATTCGCACGCCGACGCGTGTATAATACAGTCTGCCCGCCCCGCCCCACCCCGCCCCGCCCCGCCCGGCCCCCCCCTCAGGCGAGGGGGAGTCTAACGAGAGCGACCACACCTTGCAGGCGGTGGGGCAGGGCGAGGTGGGGCGGGGTGAGGTGGGGTGGGGCGGGGCCCCGAGCGGCGGACGGGGTTAAACGACTCGCTGGTGTGCTCTTGTGACGGATCGAACTGCTGGCCGCTCAGTGTCAGCCTCTTTCTCTCTCCCTCTCGGTGGAACGCCCCTTGAGTGCGAGAGAGACAGAGTGACGGACAACGCTCGGAAGCAGCCTGCCGGCCGGGAAATAGTCATGGGTGAGGCGACCCGATGTGCCTCCGTCGAGAAGTCTTGTTTCTTTCACAAGGGCGGGGAGATGGCGACGAAGGGAGACACGCACAGTGGGCCAGAAGACCGGTAGAGGCGGTCAAAACTCTAGACGCGTTTTGAGCTCCAGAGTCGCTAAATGGGACCCGAACGGACCGTGTGACCCCACCAATGGATTCCCCGTTCGCAGAGCAATCCATTGGTGGGGGTCACACGTTCGGTTCGAGTCCCATGTCGCGACTCTGGAGCTCAAAACGATTCCGGCAGTTTGACCGCCTCCACCGGTCTTCCGGCCCACTGTGGAACGTGTCGCGCTCAAGCTGCAGGTTTATTGAAGTCGAAGTGGCCGCGTTTTGCCAAGACGCGTCTGGGAAAAAAGCGGCTGAAAGGAAGAGTGGCGGTCGAAATTTTCTTTTGGAGTGGAGTCCCTGGAGCGATTGGCGCCAAGGACCGAGGACTGCGAAGGACTGCGAGGGACGCCCGGCCTTTTCAGCAAGTTGGCCAAACTGCGCGGCGGCCGCGACCCGGCATGCACTTATGCGATGACTGGGGCAGAAGAGGAATCATCAGCGGGGAGCACTTTGAGAGAGAGAAATAAAAAGCAGTAAATCAAAATCGATACGGGGGGGGAAGGAAGAGAGAGAGAGACCGAATCACCGTCAACTTGCCGAGGCTATGACGTCGTAATGAAAGATTGGGGCTGCGGGCCGAGCGATGGCGAGAGCGATAGCCGAGCCACGAGAGAGAGAGAGAGAGAGAGAGAGAGAGAGAGAGAGAGAGAGAGCGCACGTTGGCCCACGCGGCGGCAAGTTCACGGCGGGCTCGAGCGCCTTGTGCGTATGCAACCCGCCCGGATGACGTGCCTGCGCGTTGCCTACCCGTTCGTTGGCAGGCGCTACGACGCGGCCGGCCGAACTTCCCAAATCTGAACCCCTCCGAACCATCAGCCCGGCTTAGATCCAATTATTTCAAAAATTATTTTTAGAAGAAAAAAAAATTTAAAAAAACGGGTTTTTAGTTTTAAAAAATTGAAAATTGAATTTTGCGTGCCTTGTTAGTCATGCAGGCTGCACACCTTGCCGGGAGTAATCGCCGAACTTGTCATGGAGGTCTAACGAGGCGGAGCGGGGCGGGGTGGGGTTGACGACATCGCGTCACGGCAGCCTCTCTCTCTCTCTCTCTCTCTCTCTCTCTCTCTCTCTCTCTCTCTCTCTTCTCTCTCTCTCTCTCTCACTTCCTCAGTCGAGACGCGCGCCATCAAGCCCAACCCTTGCTCAACTTGGGGGCAGCAGGAAGCGGCCGAGTTGTAAGGGGGGGGGGAGGGGGGGGGGGTGCTGAGCGGAGCGGAGGGGGTTGATATCGCCTAGGGAAATTTGCGTTCCGCAACTTCAGCGTTTCTGCCGTGTAGCTTTAAGGTGACCCCCCACCCCTTCCCGGGCGGCCTTCCCCGGGCGGGCGGTGCCTTGTCTCATCCTCTCCATGTCCGCGGGGCGCCCCGCCCGGCCCCGCCCCGCCCCACCACAACGAGGGTGCAAACTGGAAAACGTCATCAAGCCCCATTGCCGGCCGCAGAAAGGAATCGCTCACAATGTATTTCCGCGCAATAATTCATAATCGCTCTTTTCCTTTTACGCAAGGTATTATTTACCAAACAACGGACGCGTTTTTTTGTTGTTTTTTTTTTTTTTTCGAAATTGCCGGCGCTTGGCGCTAAGCGGCGCTAAGGGGCTTGGGGGACGGTCTGCGGTGGGGGGGGGGCCCGCACAGCCAGGCACAGCCCACACACACAGGCCCAAGCAGGCCTTCTGGTGATCGCTCCCTGATCGACCCCATCTGCCGATGACGTTTTTGTGAAGGATAGCGCGATATTACCCCCACCCCCTCTGTGCTGGACCAGAGAGAGAGAGAGACCAGCGCTCTGGCAGCTGTGGTCGAGGAAAAAGAACGAGGTCCACGTGGTGGGCGCTGAATTTTTCATACATGTGTAATGCGCGTTGTGCCACGGACCCGGCCGGCCCGGCTAGCCTGGCTGGCTGCGGAGTGTTATAGAAACAGTATCGGATTGGATTTCGATGCTGGTTCGGCCAGCACGGCTTGATGCTCCAGCCACACTCCAGTCACACTCCAGTCACACTCCAGTCACACTCCGTCCACTCAGTCACACTCCCGGCACCTCCAGCTACACTCAGTCCCCCAGGCACACTCCAGCCCAAACCCCTAGTCCACTCCAGTCACACTCCAGCCACGCTCTAGTCGCACTGCAGTCACACTCCAGGTACACTCCAGCACACTCAGCCAACTCAGTCACACCCCGCAGTCAGGGGCACTGCGTCCCCCAGCCACGCCAGCGCACTAGAACTCCGCCCGTTCCATTGCACGTCCACGGGTGTCGCCAGCAGCCAGCGAGAGAGGATGCCGATTTCAGAAACAGTTTTGCCCCCGGTTGGAAGGGTGGGCGTTCCCGGGCGGCCGGCCACGCGGCTACTTAGAGTTGCCGCCGGCTTTTTTTTCGGGGGGGGGGGGCTTGGGGCGGGGTTGGGGGCGAGGGGGGGCGGGGGTGGGGGGTTGGGGCGGGGTTGCGGGGGTTGGGGGCGGGGTGGGGCGGCGGGTGGCCGGAGGGGGGGTTGGGGGGGGGGTTCTGGGGGTTTGGGGGGGGGGGGGGCGGGGGGTTGGGGGGGGGGGGGGCGGGGGGTTTGGGGGCGGCGGTGGGACTCGCAACAGCAGGACAGACAGGGTCCTCCAGGGAAGGGCCGGACGCCGGCAGGATGCTCACACTGATGCCTCAGTTTTTGCCGTCCCGGAAGCTCCCCCGACCCCCATGATTGAAAAGTTTGGCCGGCCTGGACGTGTGTCCGGCATCTGGCACTTAACCTCCATCAGCGGGGCACAGCGGGGCACAGCGGGGCAGCGGCGGCGGCCAAGTTGAAGCCACGGCAAAACTCCCTCCGGCTGACCTCCACTAATGCACCGCGATCCCCCACGGGACGGCGACAGCCCGGGTTCAAATACCCGCAACTTTTTGTTTTTTTTTTGTTTCTGACTCTTTCGTCCCTGTCTGTTTCAGGATGGCGAGTACAAGATGGACAAGGAGTACGAGGGCACGGCGCTCTGCCCGTACGACCCCGAGCACAACAGCACCGCCATCTACAGCGGTAAGGCTCTGCGTGCGTGTGTGTGTGTGTGTGTGTGTGTGTGTGTGTGTGTGTGTGTGTGTGTGTGTGTGTGTGTGTGTCGTTGCGTCTTCGCCGTGTGGTCATAGCGTGGTGCGCGCGCTCTGGGGCCAGCGTCACAGCATAACGATATTTCCAAGGCGTCTTGGTAACTTTAGAACTTGTTGTAGCGCTTTGGCTCCGAGGTTGGTTCCCCAGTTCTCACCCCCGCCCCACCCCGCCCGCGGGGGGCGACCGCGACCAGATTACGGAAACTTAATTTAACCATTACACTCCGGCCCGCCTCACAGGCCCATATCGCCGGGCGGCGCACAGTGGGCCAGAAGACCGGTGGAGGCGGTCAAAGTCCCGAACGCGTTTTGAGCTTCAGAGTCGCTAAACAGGACTCGAACCGGACGTGCGACCCCACCAATGGATTCCTCGTTCGGAGAGCAATCCATAGGTGGGGTCACACGTTCGGTTCGAGCCCTAGCGTCTCTGGAGCTCAAACCGTCTTCTGGAGTTTTGGCCGCCTCCGCCGGTCTTCCGGCCCACTGTGCGGCGGGCCGTGGGCTCCCTGCGCCTCGACGGCCTCGACGGCTCGACGGGGTGCCGTTCCTTTTCAATGTGTCGCCGCGGCGAGTCCGCGACCGCCCTTTTTGTTTCCCCGCCCTTTTGGGTAGCCGTTGGCAAGCCGTTGCCGGCGCTAGTTGCGCCACGTCCGCGTCGCTTGCTGGCTGGCCGGCTGGCTGGCTGCCTGCCTGCCTGCCTGCCTGCCTGCCTGCCTGCCTGCCTGCCTGCCTGCCTGCCTGCCTGCCTGCCTGGCTCCCCGGGGTGAATTTGGCGGCATTACCCCAGCAGCTGTGTGCCCCCTCCGAGCCCCCCCCCCCCCCCAGCGCCATCACAGCGCATGGAGCGGCCCCTGGAGGCGGCTAAGAAGTTGTCTTGGGTCATGCCCAAGTGCCGCGTGGCCCGGCATGGCCGCACGGCCCAGCCGTCTCACTCCGTTCCCGCTCACGGACATGGAAAGCGACACACAGTGGGCCAGAAGACCGGCGGAGGCGGTCAAAATCCCAGACGCGTTTAGAGCTCCAGAGCTAGGACTCGAACCGGACGTGTGACCCCACCAATGGCTTGCTCGTTCGAAGAGGGGGTCAAACGCTTGATTCGAGTTCCATTTAGCGACTCTGGAGCTCAAAACGCGTCCGGTATGTCGGTCGCCTCCACCAGTCCTCTGGCCCACTGTGCGACGGTGAGGACGAAAGTGGGCGCGCGCAGTCGGTGTTCGAACCCGCGCCGCCGGGAGAGCGAGAGAGAGCGTGGGGGTGGTTTTTCTGCGCCGCCTAAGCCAGCAGCTCTGCCCTCCGCCCGAGATGGCGCCGTCGCGATGGTCTGGCAGAATGGCCACTTAAGCCCCTGGCCGGGCCGGCGCTCTGTCTCTCTCGCACTCATGGGTCGTGCCGTGTGGGTGCGAGAGGGACAGAGCGACGCGAGCGCGACCCTCGGAATGGGCCTGCTGGCCGGGCCGCGTAGTTTGAGAGCGCCGCGGACCGAGGCTCGGCGCAGCGCGCAGCGTAGTCAGCGTAGCGCAGCGCGGTGGACCTTCTTGTTGTGCGCCTCGGCTCGGTCGGCACGGTGGGGTCTCCTTGCACAGCCTTGCGCGTCGCGCCGCATGCACCATACAGCGGCCGGGAAAGCGGGGCCCTCAGATAGCATCTAAGTGCGCGCTCGGACGCACAGTGGGCCAGAAGGCCTGCGCAGGCGGCTGAAACTCTAGACGCGTTTTGAGCTCCAGAGTCGCTAAACAGGACTCGAACCGGACGTGTGACCCCACCAATGGATTCCTCGTTCGGAGAGCAATCCATTGGTGGGGTCACACGATCGGTGCGAGTCATGTTTAGCGACTCTGGAGCTGAAACGCGTCCGGGATTTTGGCCTCCTCCACCGGTCTTCTGGCCCACTGGGCGTGGCGCGGCGCGGCCCTGCTGTGGGGCGGACTTCCCCGGTTTTCCCCGAACCACCAGAAACGGGGCCCGCTTTACCTCCTGCGCTAAACGGCCGCGGACTCGTGTCAATTGGCAGCCCGCCCCTCCCCGCCCCGCCCCGCCCCGCCCCGAGACGCCGCGTCGCTAGTCGCTCCCCCAGTCGCTGCCGCTGCTTAGCGCCCCGAAATGCGCGGGGAGGGATTTCAGAACGGCCGACTTGTCATTCCATTTCGTTCCCATTTTCTCTCTCTTCCTCTTTCTCGCTCTTCCACGCACACCCCGTGGCACCCTCTCTTAGGCATTTCTCTTTTCGCTTCTTTTGCTTTTACCACGCGAGCCCCTCCAGCCCCCGGCGCAGGGTGGTGGCAGTGCCGCTGTTTAGCCTGTCTTTGTCGCACTCGTGGCGCGTTAGGTTAGGTGCGAAAGAGACAGCGCGACTAAATCGACTCTCGGAATCAGCCAACTGAACTGCCTTCCCCGTGTTGCAGATGGCCAGCTGTACGCCGCCACCGCAGCGGACTTCTCCGGCGGGGACCCGCTCATCTACAGAAACCCCCTGCGGACGGAGCGGGCAGATCTCAAGCAACTCAATGGTAAGCATCCGTTGAAGTCCTGGACGCGTTTTGAGCAACAGAGTCGCTAAATGGGACTCGAACAGAACGAGTGACCCCACCAATGGGTTCCTCTTTCGGAGAGCAATCCGTTGGTGGGGTCACACGTTCGGTTCAAGTCTCATTTAGTGACAGCAATGTCATCAACAAGTTCAATTACATTCTTTGCAAGCGAAGGGAAATTAACCTTGAAATTGTCATCAAGTTACAACTTAGTGTCCCGCAAGTCTGTGCCCTCACGCTCTCACCACCGTCCTCTTTGTGCTTTTTCCAGGCCCCAACTTTGTCAGCACCATGTCATATGGCAAATTTATCTACTTTTTCTTTCGAGAAACGGCGGTCGAGTACATCAACTGTGGGAAGGTAAGTTGTGAGATTTGAAGGGAACCAGGAGTGTCTCCGTTTCCACTGACCACCTTTCTGTTTTCCAGGCGGTGTACTCCAGGGTTGCCAGGGTGTGTAAGCAGGACAAGGGGGGCCCTCATCAGTTTGGGGATCGCTGGACTAGCTTCCTCAAGTCTCGCCTTAACTGCTCCGTACCTGGGGACTACCCATTTTATTTCAATGAAATACGTAAGCTGTGGACCACTTTTGCCATTGATTTCATTTTTATTATGTGAGACTTTTGTGACAGTCAAACACCATTTTGTTTCCTTCTGTTTCAGAATCCATGAGTCCTATTATTGAAGGTCGATATGCAGGACAGGGCGAAGAGCTTCTTTATGGAGTCTTCACAACACCTGTCAACTCAATTGGTGGTTCTGCAGTCTGTGCCTTCAGAATGCGAGATGTAATTGCTGCATTCGATGGGCCCTTTAAAGAGCAGGAAACGATGAATGCCAACTGGCTTCCAGTGCAGGCAATTAAGGTCCCTGAGCCACGGCCAGGACAATGCGTCAATGACTCCAGAACAATGCCAGATGTTGCCATTAATTTTGTTAAATCACATACCCTAATGGACCAAGCTGTTCCAGCATTTTTTGGAAAGCCTCTGTTGATTCGAATTAGCTTGCAGTGAGTACCTGCTTTTTTCTTCAACATTATTTTACGTTGGGATCCATTTGGGCTTGTATTTATGGTTGGTACATTAATTTTTTTTAGGTATAGGCTGACCATGATCGCTGTTGATCCTCAAGTTAGAGCTCCAGACAACAAGGCATATGATGTCCTCTTCATTGGCACAGGTACCAATATAAGCATGTTTTCAGGCAATATGTTCTGCCCTTCAGTGCTTTAAATAAAAATTTATCAATGTTGTAATTTTTTAAATTCATTTTAGATGACGGAAAAGTTATCAAGGCGCTGAACACAGCAGCACCTAGAAACAACACAGTGGAAACTGTTGTTGTTGAAGAAATTCAAGTTTTACCTGCAGGTGTTCCAGTGAAGAACCTGCATGTAGTTCATCTTGATGTTCCACATGGGCAGCGTCGCACACATCTTGATGACAAGCTTGTAGTCGTCTCAGATGACGAGATAATGTCTATTCGACTCCATCGTTGTGATTCTGAACGAATTACATCTTGCAGGTAATGCTCTTAAATTGGACAACATCTGCAATGGGTTACTTTCTGTGCTCCTTTCATCGCTAAGTATAACGATTTTTTTTCTGAAATTTCAGCGAATGTGTCGCTTTACAAGACCCATATTGTGCTTGGGATACTAAAGAACAACGGTGTGTGTCAAGAACAGGAGACACAGATTGGAATAAGAAGATTTTCATTCAAAATGTAGAACGAGGTTTCCATCACACATGTGGACCATCAGGTGTGTATAATATTTGTATGGTGTATTAGTTTCAAGCTCACTTGGTCCTTGTAATTATTATTGTTAGCTAATTTTGCTGTCAAGAACTCAGCAGTGTTCCCTTGCAAGTAGATTTTATTTCACTTTAAAATTCTTTCAATATTTTGCAAGGGAAGGTTTGTGCAAAAAAATTAAAATAGGAGAACCACGTTAGCTTTGCTCTGTGCTGTTCATGTCAATAACTGGCTTAATCCCTTGTCACCTCAAGGATGTTGCTTTAGTTAGCCTTGATTGTAGATTTAAAAAATTAGTTCTGGATAAGTCCCTTTCTCTAGTTTCAAGGAATTACTGTACTAGTATTCTTAAGCTTCATGCATAATCTTGCTTTGTGATTGTCAAGCACAATTACTATTCTATATCTTAACTGATGACAGGAAAAAATGATAATAGAGCTACAATTAAATTTATTTTGAACCAAAAAAAAATTCAAATTCAGGAAATTTAAAGTTGCTTAAAGTTAAGCTTGTGCTGGCTTTTTGTGCTATAGCTTTTGTTGCGCATTGCTTACAGTTTTCGTGCCACAGGATTCGAATTTCCTTGACCTCAATAAAGATGGTGGTAAGTTTGCATTCCCATTCATATTGTCATTTTTGGTGTGGACCGTGTTAAAGTAATGATTGCACAAGATCAAGTCTGGAATCACATCATTGTTTCTTTACTCTGTTACATTTCTCATTACCGTACTTACTCTTAGGCAGCATGTTGGTTTTATTTTAACATGATGTGTATCCCTCTCAACTTGAATTTCGTTACTGCCCTTTTTCTTAATTTTCAATGTTTGCTTTTGTGGTAAACTCAAACAAGCCATGTATTAAGCTGTCCCAATGGCAACTTTTTCTACAGAAATGAATCAAGTGTCCGATGAAGACACAATGGTGACCACCCCACCTGCCTGTCCCATTTGTCCACTTTGCCCCATTTGTACGGCTGCAGCCTTGTGCTCTCCTCCAGTCACCGCCACCACCTCTTCAGGTGCTCCCTTCTTCACAACTGTGCCCAAGGGTCAGTTGCAATAATTACTTATTGAATGCAATACGTTTGGTCACTGGTCTACTTCACAGCACGTGGCTAACTTGCAGCTGCCTCTCTTAATAACATTCTAGACAGATATTGTGCTGTGATAAAATTGTAATCAAAGAACATGATGGTGGTAGGCCTCTTTGAGGTGACTTTTCCCTGGTCCTTGAATTAGTCAACTTTTGCATGAAAATTAACAGTACGACTTGCAATACAGATAGTTATAAAAGTTGATGACATAATACTGCCCCGAAATAATGACTTCTTACTCTAAACATCTGTGATACATACCTCATTCCCTTCCAAGAGCTATTTCAAATTCCATTGTATTTCAACTTGCAATTAATCTATATTGGTGGTGGTGGTTCTTTTCCAAGGTGTTAGTTCTGCTCTCTTCTTTGCTATGCACTCCTAGCCTAAATTTTCTTTAACAAAATTTGCTTATACGGCAAATGCCTATTAATCAATCACTCTTCCTCTCTCTTCTGTTGTTTATCACAAAAGGATGAAAAGTAGATTAAAGACAGCTTTTTAATAACTGGAGCTTTACTTTTTAACTTTTTAGAATTTATCTCAAACAATTGAGCACATTGCATACTGAATACAATCAACAAATGTCGTTTCACGTCTGCTCTGTTGCTCTTTCATCGTCCTGTCTGTACCTTTTCTGTGCTTTGTGTGTTATTCATTTCATGTTGTCATGGCTAATGGTGTTTGCATCCTGCTCGTGTCTTGTCAGGCGCTGCCTCTCCTGCACATACCTCTTTTGTCCATCCCTCTCATGGGCTGTCAGAACCAGACATTCACAACGAAATTGTGATTCAAGTGGATGAAAGAAACATCATTTCCGATACCCTTGCAGGAATCAGTCAAGCAGGTAAGATCTGGGTAGTTTGCGTCAATATTGCCTCACTCTGCTCTTCACCACTTAGTTGGGTATAAAAGTAAAATACAAACTTTGTTCTTGTTCACTCTCAGACATTCATCCTGTTCAGATCATTTTTGAACATATCTTGAACCATCCTATTTTTTTTTTTTCAGGTTTTGTTTTCTTAAACCTTTTTTCTGTTTTCTTCTTTTTCTTTTCTAAATCATTTCATCATTAAAAGTTTGGTGTTTCATCTTTTCAACCAGTCTTAACAAATTTTGTGTCATTTTGGGATGCCACTTTAAAAAAGTTTTTTGTGTTCACATATTTAGGTGTTAATAAACCCTAATTTTTTAATGTTCTGTTGCAGGGTCCAAAATGGCGACATCCCAAGAGAGATCTCCATTCTACTCTGTGCAGACTCTTGGAATTGCTGTAGCATTGGCAGTTCTTGCAGCTCTAGTTGTGGGTTTTGTTGCGGGGTTTTTATTTTCAAGACGTTGTCGGTCAGACGAGTACGCCGACATGCCCTTTCCAGATCAAAGACATCAACTGAACAGGTCAGTACTATACTCATGTTGATGTAAGACTTTTCTAGCAGAGTTTTGGATTTTTAAATTTTAATTGGGTGGCTTTGCCTTTTTGTGACTGTAGGTTGACAGACAGCAGCCTAAATCCAGATTCCAGTGCCTATTTGGCTCCGTGCGCCAACAACAAGGCCATCAATCTGGTCCTCAACGTTCCCCCCAAGAACGCCAACGGGAAGAACGCCAATTCTTCAGCAGAGAACAAACCGATACAGAAAGTGAAGAAGACATACATCTAGCAGCAGGGTGCCCTCTCTCTGGCGGTCAAGCTATGTATCGCCAATCCTGTCAAGAAGTTCTTGCGTGTCCGTCGGAGGAGGAAACATCGAATTTTTGAACTTTCAAAAGTGAAATCCCTTTAAATAGACTGGGTTCCTCAAAAGTGAAATCCCTATATATGGACTGGGCTCCTTTTGACTGAAAGTGACTTAAAATCTCCCAACCAAGATGTCTGTTTCTCTTCGTGACCAGATTGTGAATTTTAGGTAAACTTGATGCTTATTGATGTAAACTGATTAATGTATTAGTTGAGCTAGAGGCCTAGCTCAAAGCACCTCAAGGAAGGTAATGCTGCCTCTTGCTGCATTATAGCAGTGCTTGTAATGAGAGCATGGAAATGTGCCTGCAGTATTGTTTTGCTGCAACTATTTTCAATCGGAGAATAGATTCTTTGCTGAAATAATCGTAAGGTGCAGCTTATTCAATGTGACATTTCTGCATACTATTTTGTTGTATGTGTCTGCTAAAATGGTCATGACCCTATGAGACACATCAAATGCAATGCGGAAAGAATAAGTGTGCAGTGCCAATCTCCATCATGTCAAAAGTGCATGATAGTCATAAAATACTTTGTAATATTGTAAGTAAAATCTTGAGTAATTAGAATTGTTTGTGTTCACAGTGATAAATTAATTCTAACAGGTATTTCATTCCAAATTAATAATTCCACCAGTTATTGTTGACATAGATAAAGTGGAAGCTTTCAATGTTAATTTTTGTAGATTTTTAAGCTGGTGTTGACTAGTAAAGAAATGTGCAATCTCTAGAGCACTGTGCACACAAACAAACTGAGTCATTAAAATTTTTACTTGATTTAATTCTTATTTTAAATGAATAGTGTATGTATTGTATTAAAAAAAAGCGATGTTTAATGAGGCTTACCTGTCTCAGTTACAAATTTTACTGCGAGTATTATATTTCTTATGGGTAGAAGAAAGCCAATTTTGTACAGATAGCATATATTAGGTTAGTGATGTATAGATACACTCCAGATTGTACTACTTTTTTTGTACATGCTTCCATGATTTCTCACTAGCACGACATTTAACATTAAGCTGTTTCCTTGTTTGGACCATCAAAAAATAATGAAATTTGAAAATCTTTTTACTGTAACCTGTTTGTAAATACTAATGGGTGTTGAGGAAGAGTCGTGCTGTGATCTCAGTGTGATGTGCATGACATGTTTATGATGTTACGTGATGATGGTCAATAGTTTTTGTAGGAATTTGTTTCCTGCAGAGCTTATTGTGTGTTGTATACTAGGGTTTACGATTCCTGTCTTCTTTAAGGCTGACCATTTTGAGCTTAGCTCTTGCTTTAGTTTGCTTCATTATCATTGTTAGTGTTTCATCAGTCAGTCTTAAGGAAAAGAGGTGGATTTTTAGTATCTACCATCTGTCCAGAGTTAGACGGCCATATGGCACCTTAACATGTGAAAGGTTTGTGACAAAATTGAAGCCGCTATCTAATCCGAAAGAAAAAGAATAGTAGAGCTGGTGGCCAGTGGAAAATCTCAATGTTCTTTGAATGTGATACAAGTACAAGCCAATGATGATTCAATTTAATTCTGAGCTTCAAAATTAGGATATACAAAAATGTATGCCTCAGAGGGAGGAGTTGATTAGTGTTATGCTCTTCATTCATAAGACCCTTTTGGATAAGATTTTCATCCTCAATTCATAGGCAAAGGATGATGTTAAGAAGCTACTGGCTCTTGAATGCCTCATGTTGTCTACTTGACAATAATTAGCTGTACTATCTCAAATTCTTTTCCGATTTGAATTTTTTTAATACTTTCCTGTATTTTTTAATATTGTACCCCCTTCTCTTTTGAATTAATGTCTGAAGTATCTTGATGATTGTTTGTATTTGTACGTTTTGTTACTATTTAGCTTTGGGTTCAATTCGATAATTGATCTCAGAAGTGTCAATGTTCAGTTCGACTGGGAGAAACGTTTAAATTTACTTTACATTTTTACATCAAAATTAGAAAGCAGGATACCTACAGAAAGACCATTCCTGTGGTTCTGGGTTTTCAGGATGCCATGCATCTGTATAATGTAGCTCCTTTTGACAGCTGATTTTAAAACTTGTAAATGCTGAGCAGCTCTTAGAGCTTTAGAGGACCAGAAACAGTAGTTGTAAATTTGACACCGTATATATTTTTATTGGTAATTTTTATTTCCTTGTACATATATGATGAGTCCAGTCAGCATTTTGTTTCCCTCTTGAACTTTGCTAATTGCTTTTCAATATTATGTTTTCCATAATGTATTTCTCTCAAAAGGGGTGTAAGAGGTGAAACCGTACACTGTGGTATTATTCATCATGTTGCCATGATTTCTATATTTTAAACAGTGAGAGCAGGCTAATAATGGACCTCAGCGTTGTTTTCCTTTTCTTTTTTTTTCTTCAAAAGTCTTAGTTTTAAACTAGCTTGTGCAACCAAATGCTATGTGAAATGGATACTGCTCTCTTTTATGTACTAGATTATTTTTTAAATATCAAAATGACTATATGACCAATGGTCTGTTACCACATAGACCAATCTTTTGTGCATGTCTAATATGTCAGTTAGCACTTCAGCTTCAATCCACAATTAATTCTTATTCCATATCGCATGTCAAAGGGTCATACTTGTTGACGAACCCCATGGGTGACGTTCATGTAACAAGCTGTCATCACCATTTGTAGTCTTTGATTTAAATGTACGGTTTTAATACCAGGGAAATTTTTGTATGCAAAGACTGAGAGTTGATGAAAACTGTAAATAACTGCCAGTGTAAATAAAGCATTGTTAAAGGATAAATTTTAAAACAAAATACATTTTATGCGTAAAAATTGAAGGTGGGCTACTGAATGTTTTCATATATCCATGACCATTTCAAGTACACACTATTTTACGCCATTTTAAATTTTTGGCTGAAAACGGTAAAAAAAACCATGATGCTCAACAGTCATGTGTTATTGTTACTCAACACCTTTATTCAATTTCAGTCTTATCTCTCACATAATACAACTACTTAATAAATAGGCCTTGGTGTAAAGATACAGCTTCCTGTCTCAGGTATCACGTTAAAAATGAGTCCTCAGACTCGTCTTGATCCGTTTCAAGAGCACTGCTTTTTCCGAGTGTGGCGAACAACTTGCACCAAATACTCCACTCCCCACATCGCAATGCTGAGCAGTGTGATCCCGTTGAGGACCAGGATGACCACATCGTAGTTTCTGCTCGTGTCTCTGATGTAACCTGAGGGAAAAGAGTCAATTTTGAACAATCAAGGGGGGGGGGGGCACAAAAAATAACGGAGCCGCTGGTACTTGAACCCTGACCTAAGACGGGGCCGCTGGCGAGGAAGATGATGCCGTTGAGAACCGCCTGCAGTCCGACGGCGGCGGCCAGGCGATCCGGCGGCACACTGTCGGGGATGATCATGTGGTAGAACACTGTGCGCAGGCCCTTGCTGGCCCCCAGCACCAGGGCCACCACCATCACACCCGAGTCCGAGTCCACCACCACCAGCACTGTAAAGTGGAGTCAGAGTCAAACCACGGCCTCGCGAGGCACTCCGAACGCCCCAGGCTGCGCGCAGTGGGCCAGAAGACCGGTCTTCTAGCCCACTGTGCTGCGTGCACTCGCCTGTGCGCCCGGCGACCACCACCAGCAGCGACAAGATGTACATGTTCTTGGAGGACCAGCCCAGCAGCGCCTGGGCGAGCGGCGCCAGCAGCCGGAACACGGTGTTGGCCATGGCGATGACGGACATGGCGTTGGCGATGCTGGCCGTGTCCAAGCCCCGGTCCGCCAGGATGAACGGCACGAACACCGTGAAGTTCATCTCGGCGAAGGAGGCCACGGACACGCCCAGCATCAGGTTCAGCGTGGACGGGCTGCTGAGCAGGCTCAGGTCGAACAAGTCCACGATGAAGGCGCAGCAGCGCCGGGCAGCGCCGCGCCGGCCGTCCTCGCCGGCCTCGCTCTTCACGGCCTTGAGCGCCATCTCGGCGTGCAACGGCGTGGCGGCGACTTCCTCTCTGAAAGGCAGGCGAAGCAGTAGAAAGCTGTCAGCGTCACCGAGCAGAACCCTGTACGCAGCGCCGGAGGGGTAGGCAACACACCACAACAACTCGGAGACCAGCCATTTCCCGCCAAATTAAATGCGATAGCGACCATTCGGCGCAGGGAATCCTTTTCTGAGACCCATAGCAACGTTCCATATGAATTTCAGACAAATCGGAGGCGGTCGACCATTTTCGTCGAAAAAATGTTAAGGCTATACATCATGGTTTTTTACCGTTTTCGGCCAAGAATTTAAAATGGCCCAAATTCGAGTTTGTTGTGCCGGAGCACTCCCTCAAGACGCCTGACACTATTTCAAGGGTCATTTCGCCCTTAAACGGCCTTTTTCTGGCGAAAAACGTACAGGATGGTGTCGTCCAGGGTGATGACGCTGCTCCCCATGTCGAGCACGTTGCTGGACGCCCAGATCGAGTTGCTGCTCGGGCACCGCGCGGTGTAGTCTGTGGGCAGGCGCGTCGGGCAGGGCGGACAGTTAGTAGGGCGAATGCACAACGGCCAGAAGACCGGTGGAGGCGGTCAAAATCCTAGACGCGTTTTGAGCTCCAGAGCCGCTAAATGGGACTCGAACCGAGCGTGTGCTCTTACAGGTGGACGTTGTGGACGGCGTGCGCTGCCGCATGCCGAGGCCGCCGACCTCGGCGTCGCCCTCCTCCAGCGGCTTGAGCACGGGCAGCGCGGTCAGCACGAACTCCTTGTCCACCATGGGGTCGTCTTCGTTCTCATGCACGGACGGCGTCTCCAGCACCACCGGCACAGCCGCTGCAATGGAAAATTCAAAACCAGGCCGGTGTTCGAACTCGCGACTCCCGGCGCCGGTGACGGCCACGCTGCGCGCTCGGCTACAGACCTTTGACGGCGGGGCGGTGCCACGCGACGGGCTGCAGCAGCGCGGCCGCCACCACGCCGTTGAGGGCCAGCCCGGCGAACAGCACGCAGGTGCCGCGCGCGCCGTACTCGCGCAGCAGCACGCCCACCAGCTGCGGCAGCAGGATGGCCGAGACCCCCGTGATGCCCATGGCCAGCCCCGTGGCCGCGCCGCGCCGCGCGCGGAAGTACGAGTTGAGGGCCACGGTGAAGGCGGGGGCGCTCAGCCCCAGTCCGGACGCTGCGGCAGCATGCGGCAGTGCAGTGGCGGCGCTGGTTCCAGGGGGGAGGGCAGTGCACAGTGGGCCAGAGGACCGGTGGTGGAGATAATTCTATACGCGGTTTGACCTCCAGAGTCGCTAAATGGGACTCGAACCGAACGTGTGACCCCACCAATGGATTCCTCTTTTTGAGAGCAATCCATTAGCGGGGTCACGCGTTTGGTTCGAGTCCTGCTTCGTGCTCAAAATGCGTCTAGAATTTTAGCCGCCTCCACCGGTTGCACTTTTGCCCCTCTAGGTAGGCACCGCCCTCTCTCGCACTCACCCATGACGATGCCGAAGTTAAAGAGGAACGCCGGCGAGGAGCTGGACAAGGCCGTGAGGACCATGCCGAAGGCCGCCAGCACGGCGCCGGCCGCCCCCGTCTGCCGGTACCCGAACTTCCTCATCAGGGCGTTCGTGAAGATGCCTTCAATGAGAGCGTAGTGGTGAAGGCGATGGAGTGGAGGAGCGCAGGCTAGGCGGCCTAACTCTAGACGCGTTTTGAGCTCCAGAGTCGCTGAGTGGGACTTGAACCGGACGTGTGACCCCACCAATGGATTGCTCTCCGAACGAGGAATCCATTGGTGGGGTCACACGTTCGTCTCGAGTCCCACTTAGCGACTCTGGAGCTCAAAACGTGTCCGGGATTCTGGCCGCCTCCACCGGTCTTCTGGCAAAGCCACTGTGCGGCGGCTCACCCAGCAGCAAGCTGAACGACATGTTGAGGTTGAGGATGAGCGCGATGTCCGTGGCGGGCATGGCGAGTGTGGCGAACAGGTCCTTGAAGATGAGCCCGAACACTCCGATGAGCTGCAGCACCACGATCTGCGCACCGCACCTCAATGCTCAGTGCCACTTCCTCTTCGGCGTCCTGGTCCAGGGCGGTCCGGGCGCTCGCTCACCGTGTTCAAGGAGTAGGCGACCACGACCACCCAGCCGTAGCCGCCGTCGGGGGCCGGGGCATGCCCCGCGGGGCCCGCTCCGTTGGCGGCGGTGGTCATCGCGGGCGAGGACGGCGTCGACTGCGTCCTGGACTAGGACAAGCTTCGCGAGCTTCGGCCCGGGCTAGCCGCCAGACTTCCCCACGCGCAGCGCGCCGCCCATGCCCTTCGTCGATTCGCTATTCGCCGTTATCTGTACAGTGACGCGGCCGTCTCTCTCGCACCAGCGCGGAGCAACCCAGCAGTGCGAGAGAGAGCGAGAGAGGGGCCTTTTGCGGAATCAGTTTGCTGCGATAGGTGCAGGCGGCTCGAAGCACCTCAAGGGCCCGAAGATAAGCCTTTTGCTGTTGTTGGACACGCCAGGACGCCCGTCCTTGGTGCTCTGACACACTGATGTGTGGCGCGGCTGGCCCAAACAACCCCACGATGCAGCGGGCCGCAAGGCATCGAGGAATTCACGCAATGGCGGAATCAAGTTCCGGCCGTCACCGCGAGGGATCGCCAGATCTAATCGCGATTGGGATGCTTTATCTCGGAAGTAAACCACACTGATAGTGGCTGCGGCCACAAATAAATGAACGCAGACAGACAGGCGGATCGAGAGACAGGCAGACAGACAGACGGACAGGCAGACAGACAGACAGACAGACAGACAGACAGACAGACAGACAGACAGACAGACAGACAGACAGACAGGTAGACAGTCGGCGCGCGAGACGCTGTGTGTGCAGGTGGTGGTCCGAATAAACAGTGGCTGTGCGAGTGCAAATCTTTATTGCGGCAGGCCCTGACCCTGGCCGTCATGACTGTCATGACAGCGCCCTGGCCACGCAGGCCGTGAAGTCCTGCACGAAGGGGCCCAGCGGCGCGGGGAAGGCCGCGCCCGCCATGCACGCCGACACGGACTGGATGACGACGCCGGGGAGCGTGCCGCCCGCCAGGGCCTGCGCGCCTGCAGCCGCGCACGCGTCCATCTGCAGCAGGGAGGACATGGCAGAGACGAGGCGCAGTGGGCCACAAGACCGGTGGAGGCGGCCAAAACTCTAGACGCGTTTTGAGCTCCAGAGTCGCTAAATGGGACTCGAACCGAACGTGTGACCCCACAAATGGATTCCTCGTTCGGAGAGCAATCCATTGGCGGGGTCCCACGTCCGGTTCGAGTCCCATTCAGCGACTCTGGAGTGAAGTCGGTCTGGTTCGTCGGCTACGTGCCTGTGCGACCGCCCCGTAGCTGTTGTCGACCAGCATGTTGGGCGCCACGGTGCGCACGCAGCGCTGCAGCCGCGCCTCGCCGCTGGAGACGGCGTCCTCCTCGCTGGACGCGGCGCTGGAGTCCTCGGACGACGACGAGGAGGAGTCGGCCCCGCAGCAGCAGCCCCCTTGGTAGTGGTGATGGTGGTGGACGTGCTGTGGGGGAGGCGGCGGAGGCGGAGGGGGAGGTGGGCGGGGCGCCGGGGGCGGTGGTGGCGGCGGCGGCGGCGGCGGGGCGGGGAGCTCCACGGGCGGGCCCAGGATGGCGCCGGCGATGGCGCGCTTCCACGCCCCGATGGCCTGCAGCGGCGGCGGCAGCGAGAGGGAGAACGAGGAGCCCAGGGTGCCGGCCTCGCCGCCGTCCGGGGCCAGCGACAGGGTCTTGACGACCTGCAGCGGGAGCGCCGCCGCCCCGGGGTCGTTGTCGCTCTGTGGCGCATGGCGCAGCAAAGACAGTGTCGGCAGCAGGTAAAGAAAGCGGGCTCGCTGCTCGAATCCGCCGCCACGCCAGAGGGGTGGAGGTGGCCAAGACGCGTGTAGACCTCCAAAGTCGCTAAATGGAACTCGAACCGAACGAGTGACCCCACCAATGGATTGCTCTCCGAACGAGGAATCCATTGGTGGGGTCACTCGTTCGGTTAGAGTCCTGTTTAGCGACTCTGGAGCTCAAAGCGCGTTCACCAGTCCTCTGGCCCAATGTAGGCCGGCAAGCTTACTCACCGCGACGAGGACTGCGAGCAGGATGGCGACGGCGGCCCTGCTCGCCATGCTGACGGTGTGGTGCCGCCCGCGCCGCCGCGCGCTTTATACCGGCCGCGCGGCCATGGGGCGGCCGACGTGCGTTGTCCTGGCCGCCGCCAACGAGTGCGTCACCGCGGCCGGCACACCACCCCGCCAGCCTCCAGACGGGCACACACACGCACCTGTCCAAACGGCGCGGCGCGCTTAGTTAAACGAAGCGCGCCGCGCCCGCATCACCAGTCCGCACCAGTCCATCGCCATGGCCAGCACGCGCTCGTCGCCCCCCAGCCGCGCGGCCACGGCGGCCACCTGCCTGCTGCTGCTGTGCGGGCTGTCTGTGAGTAGCGGAGAGCCTTGGTCTAGCCCTTAATGGTAAGGGTAATGGCATGGCCCCCCGGCCCGGCCGTCCCGTCGAACTGCCGTGCTGGCGGGTTGCCTACTCTGCATCCGCAGGCGCTTTCCAACGGCGCACGGCAGCGCACAGTGGGCCAGAAGACCGGTGGAGGCGGTCGAAATCCCGCACGCGTTTTGGGCTCCAGAGTCGCTGAATGGGACTCGAACCGAACGTGTGACCCCACCAATGGATTGCTCTCCGGACGAGGAATCTATTGGTGGGGTCACACGCTCGGTTCGAGTCCCATTTAGCGACTCTTGAGCTCAAAACGCGTCACCTCTGGCCCATTGTGCGGCTGTAGGCCTACCGGAGGCCGCTCATTGGCTGCGCGACGCGTCGGCGGCAAACCCAGGCGGCGTCGTCGACACCAGTCAGTCGGCACCGGTCGCCCGTTGCAGCCAGACCGGCCAGACCGCAGCGTGTGTAGCCCAACCCGTGTCTGATCGCCCCCCTCGTCGCAGGCCACCCGCGCTGACTCCTCGTCGTCCTCGTCCTCCTCAGAGGAGCACGTCAACGACGTCCTGGAGGCCGGGGTCCAGGAGTGTGCTCGTAAGCACGCGCCCCCGATGGTCGGCGGGGGAGACTACAGCGAGCTGGCCAAGGTAGGTCCGCGTCCGTTTGTATCGAGTCATTTTTCGCGAAATGCTGTGTAACTTTGGACGCCGGTCGGCAGCTCACGTCGTGCGTGTCTGACGGCATGGAGGCCCTCGAGGCCGGCACCGCCCCCGCCGTGGTCGACCAGCAGATCGAGGACTGCGTCAACGGCAAGCCGTTCCCCGACCCCCTCAAGCCGGTGGTCGCGTCGTTTCTCAACTGTGTAGGTGGCGTTCTCAAGTAACAACTCGGAACTTCCGAGCACCCTCCCTCTGATGCACCCAGATCCCCTGGAAACGAGGATGAGGTTGGGAGGAAATAAAACCAAGTTGTTGGCTAAAGCATTATTATTTTGAGAAAATATTTCCATTGACTGACATAGAATTCTAGACATGAAAAGCAAGTCAGAAACTAAACCAACGTCACAAAAAAAAAAAAAAACAGACAAAAAACAATTCATTAAATGAATTTTTAAGTCACCAGCTTGAATAGAACAAATTCGGTTAACAAGAGTATTCAACAAGGGCCAGGATTGACTTATTGATAGCAAGAAGTAATTGGAACTTTAATCATTCATGGTTTGTAAAATTGATTGACAACTATCATTTAAATAGGTAAAATGCTTTCTAAAAGCTGTTTCACAATATCTTGGATTTTGAAAAAAATCCGTTTGACTAAACAAACATGCATGCCTTATCATCATTATGCACCAAGGGCGTTTTCTACATACAAAAGTAAGAATTTCCAAAGAGCCTCCACTGAAATTAAAAAGTTTGGTAACCACATGTAATAAACAAATAAATCAAGATGCACTCAACCACCATCAATCTGAACATGGATCTCATTAAACAGAAGTCATTAATGTGGCATTGTTTTTGCATTCAGATGAATTTTGAAAGAAATATGGAAAGGATACATGATGATAAAGGCTTACATCAATTGCCTAATATCACTGCACGAGACTTACTCTCGTATTAATTATTATCATATCTTCATCCTACTTACCTTAACTTAGCTCATCAACATACACTTAGAACACAGTTTCTTTCATCCCTTGTGCTGATATTGTTTTTGATAGAAAGAAGTGCCAATGGATAAAGACACATTCACCTAGATTCACAATCATTTCAGATTCTAACAAACAGTAATAAAAAACATAGAGAACAGAAAAACAAACACAATTGAACAAAAAATCATTACTTAAGAACTAAATGTATGAGAAAGCAGTTCTCTTCTAAGTTGATGAGACATGAACACATAAAGACGACATAAATATTTACACATGACTTTAAATAAGATAAAAACTGAAAAATGGAGTTCAAAATGTACACTTGAATTAGATTAAGCTATACTTACACAAAATATTTTACACTTTACAGACAAGCAACCAGAATGACAAACAAAAAATTCAAACTAGTGCTAGAATTTGGTTTCTCACACCAAATTCTATTTCTGAATGATTCTATGAAATTTTCTCTCTTCAACTCACTTGAGACATATACACAAAGACGATTTTGAGACAAAAATTTAGATGATGTGCGAATAAAAATAATAACAATAAATTCCAAAAGCCACTTTTGCAATGCTGCATGATAAAAGCTTTCACCCTACAATTGGCAATGCAGTGCAGTCGTATAGTAAAAGGTTTCAATTAAAACTTCTAAAATGTACAACCTTGACACAGAGTCGTCAAAAACTTCATGACAACCACTTATAGCCACACATTTTCCAGCATAGTACTCTATGTCTAAAAAAATCATATAGATAAGGACGGACCATAAACTAGAAAGTTTGAGTCTTTAAGCACTAGAAGACAATACATTGCACAGTAGACTTGAATAAATGCAAGACACGAATTTAAAAAGATGGTGGCACATTGATACTCCTGTTACAACCAGGAATTTATTCAAACGATTTTAATGAGTTGATGTAAAATTGAAATAAAGCACTGTGGGTAAATTAGATACATTGCATCATACGAAAATGTATGAATGAATGGCAACTTTGCCTGCCTAGGACACCAAAGTAATGTCTCAAGCTGCCAGAAATTCTGAGTTACCATAAACTCATGAAAGCAGTTACATTCAACTGTAGAATGTAATAACAGTCATCGGTGCAATTAATTAAATTGTAATTGCGTTCATTAAGGTCACTATGGATCCAACTGCTGGAATTGATTAACGGAACTTTTGAGCAGCATCTAGCTAAGGAAAGAGCATATTATGCATTTTGGTTCAAATCATGAAGTGTTCACAAAGCGCATTTTGGTACTTGGTCAATTACTGAACTTGAGATAGAATTATTAGGATTCCAAAACTCCAATAGGGAAAGAATAGCTGTAAAAGAAAATTATGCTTCATCCATGCATGTATGATTGAACAATGTTATTTCTTACAAATTATAACAACAACAAAACTACTTTGTCGACTCAATATAGCAGTGCTCAATTGAGATGAGAAAGGTGAATTCAGTATACAACATTCTATCACATTTGTGAGACCATACTTTTGGCACAAATGCTCACAAATATTCATTGAAATAAATAAACTGTACATAACTTGCTGGAATGTTTTCAGCATTCAGACTAGCATAACCACAGGTTTGTCCACCCTGGGTCTGTATCATTTACCATCTCAATCTGGTCCTGCCGATCTCTTGGAAATTTCAAAGAACAACTGTTTTCTATCTTTGCCACACATACAAATTTACATTCAATCAGACAAACACTCACACACACACACACATACTCACGCACACACAACCCATACCAAATGAGGAAACGATAAACCACCAGAAATAAAAAATAGGTCATTCTTTCCACTGTGTCCTCAAAACTAAGGAATATAAAACAGTATATGACTCTAGTATGCTTAACTCAAACTCTTCACATTCAGACCAACCAAGAGAAACATTCACACTGACATGCACCACATAATAAATATAAGAACTATCACTCAGTAAAATGAATTGAGCTGAAGATACAATAAAATTTAAATTATCCCAAGACATTTATCCTAAGAAGATATCACACGCAGTCTCCCTACACTCATTTGGCAACATCAATCTGCCAATTCAGATAAATATTTAATGCTGAGGCGGGAATATTAATCAATCTCAGAGTGGATTTGAAAAAGCACCTTCCCAAAAGATTTGTAGCCCTTAGTCCATGTTCCATCGAGGCATGGTACAGAGTCACATTCTTCAGAGGTCAGCACCTTTCCTCACATATCTTTGCACCTCAGTAATGTTTACCCACTCCTGCACCACTCAGTTGAAAAATAACAAAATAATGAAGAGAGGTGCTTCATACGTATTCATTGCTGCCAGGGCTTGTAAGTGGCTCCTGAGCCTGGAACAGAAGAAGAAGATATGTCAGTTATCGTTTTGGTCTCCATCCTCAACCCTGAATCAGATAAGCCAAAATATGCAGGGCAACAACTGATTGACTTCATATAACATGACTTACACAAACTACGAACTCAAAAGCCTCCTAAACTATAAAGACCACAAACTACCAAAAAATAAAAGAAGAAAGAAACTGCAATGTGCAAAACACATGCCAAGCATTGTGATTTTCATGATCTTTCAAAAATTATTTTGGCATAATATTGGTGACAATTTCTACAAATATAATGACTTTATTTCTTTCTTTCTTAAACTACCAAGGTCTACATAAAGGCCATTTTCAAATCTAAAATTTGGTTCATCACTTACCGAATCATTTAAGCCTTGCTCATCTCGACAGCCATGTAACAATCCATAACATGGATACAATGAATTTATAGTGAAGGCTGCCTTATATTCCGAATTACAGTAAGCAGGACAAACAGAAATTGGCCTAGATTACAGAAGGTCCTTTCTCTTTTCCCTAGCTAAATACTAAGATGATAATTGTAAACCCTTAGGTGAATGTACAACTTTTCAAGTTTGAGAGACCTTGAAAGATCTCATTAAACAGCATGTGCATAAGTATGTTATGAAATCAATTATGCGAGTTACTGTGATGAAATATTCTTTCTTTTTTGAGGGGGAAGGGGGGGGGGGGTAGGAAAGGGGGAGGTACGTTGGTAAATTAAATGCATTTTCATGTACATATTTGGAAAAGATTCCACTTCTACAAAAACATAATTACCTAAGACAATTATTCCAAATCAAGAACTATGAACAAGTTTTGATTTATCATGGCATGCCAGAAAGCCTCAAATGAATGAAGAGACATTTTTCCAGACAAGATAGTGTTTACATTAATCCATCACCGACCCACAAAGAAGACTTGAAGAGAAATAATTGTGCATATGCTTATGAGTTTCATTTTATCGGAGAATACATCCAGTGTCAGAAGGCACCGTCAGCATCAATGCTCTTACCTCCTCAGCGATGGTGGCTGGGTAGACTCGCGTAGGCTGGAACTGATTCTTTTCCAAAGCAAATTGGTCTTCAGTAGTTTTACGATACACAGGATTGTCAAAGTTCATGCTAGTTATGTTTCGGTGCATGTAGTGCCGGTAAATGATGAAAATTATCTGGAGAGAAGAAATTAAGATGTGATCAAATCAAGATGCTTATTGAGTACAGCAAGGAAACAAGACTCAGTAAATACAAACAAAATTACTTACCAGGCCAGCCAAACCCAATATTACAAGAATGACTGCAATAACAATCAAAGCAACCATTAGGCTATCTGTTTCTTCTGCTGGTGTCTTTTGAGAAGTTTCTGTACCTGTAAAATTTGTTAAAATATTACAATATCAAATGGGTACGAGGGAGTTGAACTTGGTTCTGACATGATCGAAAGAAGATGAACTTACTAGCTTCCACACACATAAGGCCATCCGGAAGAAGTGATAGCCCATCAGGGCATGCACATGATATTCGAGGTGACTTGGAGTTTATAAGCGGTGACGGTAAGCAAAGGTGTGAGCAGTGACCATTGACTGCAGTGCAGAAATTTTCTCCATCTGGTTGTCTATAGGGGTGGTACACATGGACAACCATGGGATTTTGCATCTAGAGCAAAGAAGTGAAGAGTGTTAGTGCAATTTAATAGGAAATCCTGTTGTGGATGATGGTCAGAATGCTGTAAATACTCACAGTATGGATTGCAGTGATGGCTTCAACACTACTGCCATTAAATTTATTTGCACGGAATACCGCATGCTTGGTCCAATCGGTCCAGTAGACAAAGTCTTCAAATGTTGTAATGGAGAAGGGGTGTGACAAGTAGTCGTCTGAGAAAAGAACAACTCTTCGATGAGATCCATCAAAGTTGCAGGATGATATGGTCTGCAATTTCGCATCAACCCAAAACAGTCTCTTTCCCACAATATCCAAAGTCAAGCCGTTAGGCCACTTAATATCATGCTCAACGATGACTTGTCGATGGGATCCGTCCATCCCAGCTCGTTCAATCTTTGGCACAGCACCCCAGTCCGACCAGTACAGCCAACTGTAGGGGAATAAACCAATCACGTGTTATCCAACAATGCCAAAGGAAAACAACTCAGGTTTTCAAAGATTTGAATTTTTAAATAATAATATGAAGAACATACCCCTCGAGTGGGTTAACTGCCATGGAGCGAGGCTTCTCCATGTGGTCTTGGATAACAGTTTTCCTCATGTTTCCTTCGAAGTTGGCAAGTTCAATAGTGCCTTTAGAGCTGTCTGTCCAGTAAATATGGTTGTAAATCCAGTCGACAGCCAGGCCATCAGACAAAGTCACATCATCTTTTATTACCACCGTCCTCTGACTGCCTTCGTCAATAGGGGCTCTGCAAAGATAGATTAATTAAAACCACAAACAGAAATAAGTCTTATGGTTTTGTTTTTTCTTAAAAGATCATTCAACTTACTTATAAATCTTCTTGTCACTGACATCGCTCCAGAAGATCATACCAGTGCGGAAAACAAAGTCCAAGGCCGTTGCATACTTGGTGTCGTTTACAATTGCTGTGATGTCACGATGATCGAGAGAAACCTTCCGGATGTCATGTCGCCGAGTGAAGAGCAGAGAGGCATGACCCTCAGCTGCCTTGCACCTTGTCAGGTCTCTGGGGTCCCTCAGGTAGCCATGCACACACTCGCACTTGAACTTCCCCTTCTCATTAATACAGATCTGGGAGCAGACGCCAGGCTTTTCACATTCATTAACGTCTGAAATTAGAAAAAAATTCTCGTCAGCAGTGCTCAATTTTGAGATGAGGGAAGTGAGTTGGGTGCGGTGTTCCAGTCACCTTCACAAGTGGAGTTGCCTTTCAGTTGGTACCCATGTGGGCAGTCGCAGTAATACCCTGCGGGCATGTCGACACAAATGTGCGAGCAGCCCCCGTTTTTGGTCGCGCACTCGTTGATGTTGCAGAGGGCCTTGGGCTCGTCTTCCCAGGCAGGGCAGTCTGGCTTCTTGTCGCAAACCACACTCTGATTCACGCACATTCCTTCCCCGCAGTCGAACTGGGTTTTGGGGTCACACCGGTTGGGAGCAGAGCCTGAGAACAGAGAGACAGAAACTCAGCAAACAAATCTAAAATTCCAAACAAACAAAAAAAGTGGGGTTAAAGGAGAGGGGTGTGCAGGGTCGGTTGAATGAACAAACTCACGGCAGTTCAACTCGTCGCTGCCGTCGCTGCATTCGGGAACCCCCGAGCACTGCAGGTGGCCGGGGATGCACTCGTGGTTCTTGCACTGGAAGTGGTCGGCGCGGCAGCTCACGTTGAGGCAGCGCTCGGGCGCCTCGTCGTCGCCGTCGGGGCACTCCGTGTCGCCGTCGCACACCCACGCCTTCTGGATGCACGTGAACTGGTCCTTGCACATGTACTCGCGGTCGGTGCACACCAGCGGGTTCTTCGTGGACACGGCCGGGCATCCCTGAAGAACAAACAAAAACAACAATCACAAATGCCCGACACACGCACAGTGGGCCAGAAGACCGGTGGAGGCGGCCAAAACTCTAGACCCGTTTTCAGCTCCAGAGTCGCCAAATGGAACTCGAACCGAACGTGTGACCCCACCAATGGATGGCTTTCCGAACGAGGAATCCATTGGTGGGGTCACACGTTCGGTTCGAGTCCCATTCAGCGACTCTGGAGCTCAAAACGCGTCTAGAATTTCGGCCGCCTCCGCCGGTCTTCTGGCGGACGCTGGAACACACCTTCTCGTCGGAGCCGTCGGGGCAGTCCAGGTCGCCGTCGCAGCGCCACCGCGCCAGCACGCAGGACTTGGACGCGCAGGTGAACTGGTTGTCCGGGCAGGTCCTGGGGGCGCACTGGGCCTCGTCGGAGTCGTCGCCGCAGTCGTCGTCGCCGTCGCACACCCAGCGGCTCTGCACGCAGCGCCCGTTGCCGCACGTGAACTCCTCGGAGCGGCACGTCTCGTCTGGAGCAGAGAGAGAGAGAGAGGGGGTGAGTTTCCAAGAGAGAGAATCGTCTGAAACAGGACGGCGGCGAGGATAGGGCGCCTGCAAAGGCCCGAGCGGGCAGGCCCGCCGCACAGGCACGCGCGGAGGGCTGCCTACCCGCCAGGCGTCCTCGCGGGAAACCGAAACCCAAACCGCAACACTGTATAAAAGAAGCGTAAAGTGTGAGGGCCTTACTGCACGCCTTCTCGTCCGAGCCGTCGCTGCAGTCGTCGTGGCTGTCGCACATCCACGTGAGCGGCACGCACTCGCCGTCGCCGGACCGGCAGGTGAACTGCTCCTGCGTGCACGTCTTGAGCCCTGCAACCGAGAGCCAACCTCCAGCACTCCGTCGCACAGTGGGCCCGCGGCCGAAAGCCCGGACGCGTTTTGAGCTCCAGAGTCGCTAAGCAGGACTCGAACCGAAGGTGTGACCCCACCAATGGCTTCCTCGTTCGGAGAGCAATCCATTGGTGGGGTCACACGCTCGGTTCGAGTCCTGCTTAGCGACTCTGGAGCTCAAAACGCGCCGTGGTGCTGTACTCACCGCAGATGGCGGGGTCCTCGTCGGAGCCGTCCGTGCAGTCCTGCTCGCCGTCGCACTGCCAGTGGCCCATGATGCAGGGCCCGTCGGCACACCGGAAGTCCGTGTCGCTGCACTTGTGGACCTTGGCGACTGCAACAGAACGGAGGCACGGGTCAAGACGGGTACAGTCCCTGCGGAGTCGTTAGGCCCTGCGCGACGCAACGATCACAACGATAAACGAACGAAAGACGAAGGGGCTTCCGCCGGCCGAAACTGTTGCCATGCCACCAGGCCGTCAAAGTACCATCGAAGACTTGTTTTTCCCTCTCCTTGTTGATGTGGTCCCAGCCGCGGCTGCCCGGCGGCCTCCGGCCGTCAACCCGGTGCCAGGGCGCCGCCGTGGCCTCGGCGACGACGCCGACCTGGGCGGCGACGCGTGCGGGGGCGTTGGCGACGGTCTGGTTGTCGCGGGCCCGCGGCGCCGTGGAGGCCTCGACGGCGGCCTGGGCGGCGCGGACGAAGGTGGGCGACACGGAGCCGCCGACGGCGTGGCTCAGCACCACCAGGATGGCGACGGAGAGGACCGCGGCCCAGAGTGGCCGGGAGGCACAGCGTCCGAGAGGCATGGCGGAGGTCGCCGACGAAGAGGTCGCCGCCGTTCTGGCACTGCTCTGGCCGCACGGGGTACCCGGGCAGTACCCACGGCTACCTCCACCGCCCCGCCCGTCCCCGCCACTCGCCGGCCGGCGGACAACGGTCAGAAGTCATCTCGGCGGCGCGGCGAAGCGCGTAGCGCCGAGGAAGGTTCGGCCCGGCAGGGTTATCTCAGCGTGGCGCAGATAAGGGTGGAGCTTAAAGAGACGATAATTGACGCGACCCGAAATTTGTTTTTGCGGTGGACCATGCGTCGCACAGTGGGCGGCCGAAATCCCGGACGCGTTTTGAGCTCCAGAGTCGCTAGATGGGCCTCGAACCGAACGTGTGACCCCACCAATGGATTGCTCTGCGAACGAGGAATCCATTGGTGGGGTCACACGCTCGGTTCGAGTCCTGTTCAGCGACTCTGGAGCCCAAAACGCGTCTAGAGATTTGGCCGCCGCCACCGGTCTTCCGGCCGACTGTGTCGCGACGGGCAGCTGTGCGGCGCGGCACGGCTCGCGAGGCGATCTGACCTTCGAACAGAAGGAAAAATAAACGGGAATAAAGCAAGTCGGAATGGCGCCCAAGTTCACCGCAAGCATCACAATCCGCGGTTTAGCATTCGCTATTTATGCCGAAGATCAACAGAATAGTCCGTTTGCTTTGAGTTTCTTTGGCGAAACGCAGGGAAAGGGGTGCTCCGCGGGAGGGGGGAGGGGGAGGGGGCGCTGATAGGCGCGGGGCTGCGTTGTTCCCCAATTTCCCAGTCGAGTGCCACCGAGAGAAAAAACATCATTGGTAGTCAAATAAACAATCGACTATTGGCGTGCGAATCCCGGGGTTCGAATACCAGCCGCGGCCGACCGCGCGCCGCGTTCGAGTTGCCGGGATCTCCTTATCAAGCGCACAGCAGGGGCCGAAACGGCTCCAAAGCCCGGCAACCAAAACAAAGTGGGGTATTCACAATGATGTTTACAAATTATTTTTTCAAAGGGAGGTTAGGTTAGCGAGGCTAAGGGGCACCTCGCTGCCAATGACGTCATTACTGCTTCGTCTCTCTCGCACACACGGGCCGCCCCCAGGCAGTGCGAGCGAGACAGCACGAATGCGCCGTTAGGAATCAGACCCCGTCCGCGAGCCACAGTGTGCCACACCACGACCTATCCCCCATCCAGGACTTCCCTTGGCAGGCCTTCCAGGTGCTTCCAGGCGACAAAGCCGGCATTGTCTGCCTGCGGGGCAGCCTAGGGCACCACAGTGGGCCAGAAGACCGGCGCAGGCGGCCAAAACTTTAGACGGGTTTTGAGCTCCAGAGTCGCTAAGCAGGGCTCGAACCGAGCGTGTGACCCCACCAATGGATTCCTCGTTCGGAGAGCAATCCATTGGTGGGGTCACACGCTCGGTTCGAGTCCCATTTAGCGACTCTGGAGCTCAAAACGCGTCTAGGACTTCGGCCGCCTCCACCGGTCTTCTGGCCCACTGTGCAAAGCCTGCGCGGGTACCTGCCAACCCGCACCGACTATCTCCGGCTGCATCGCCGACTGCAGCGACAATGGCAGCGGCCCGCACCGAGGGCCGCCGAGCAGCGCTTATCAAAATAATCGGTATTCAGAACGCGTCCACAACCGGGCCAATGGCATTCTCGGCGAGAAGAGAGCGCTCGTGTGTGTGTGTGTGTGTGTGTGTGTGGAGTGAGTGAGTGAGTGAGTGAGAGAGAGTGGCACAGCAGCAGAGCTGCCAATCGCCGGCGCTATATGAATAAAATATATGCGAATGGTGGCCTGCACTGCCCCTCCCCTGCGCGCACCGCGCACCGCGCGCTGGCCCCGCAGTTTGGCCAACCTAAACAACGGCGGGCTAGTTACTGCTGCCTTCATTGGCCCCAGGTTGGCCCTACCGGATTCTGCCGGTGCAAAATTAATTGCAGATGGCGAATCAGAGGGGGGTCTGGGCTGGCGCGCCTGGCGCCGCTACACCGGCAGCGCGCAGCAGCGGCGCCGTCGGGTAATTTAAATGTAGCGCGAAACAAAAGCCGGAAACCAAACAGCGCGCTGTTGCTCGGCGAAGTCAAGTTGGTGCGACGTCCCGACAGCGGTGTTTCTAATGCCCTTGTTAACGGCGCGGCATTCCAAATCACGGCGATTCTAAACGTCGACTGAAATGTGGGGATTCGAACCCGCGTTGGATGTATCAAGCCATGGAGAGAGCCGCGGACAACGCGAAAGCATCTCGGCTGGCAGTGGAGACGCACCGGGCTGCCTGCACCTTGACGGCGTGCCACAGCTCGTCGTTGTTCTCACAAGGCTTGGACCCGCTGCAGCTTGGCCGGGAACTTGTTTTGCCTGCCGAATTCCGAATCCAAAGAGGGCACTGGGGGAGTGAGTGGGACGGAAAGCGGATGGACTTGAAGGAGGAAGGAGAGAGGGGGGGGGGCGCCTCAAACTACTTTAGCGAAGCGTTCTGGCGAAAGGATGCATGCCCACGTAAACGAGCATATATTAAGCTTGTTTGGGGCCAACGCGGCGGGGCGCGGCAGGGACTGCAGGGAGGCGACCAAACTTTGCGAGCCAAGTGAAAGTGGCAAACATTTATGGCCTAATCCGGTGGGAGGGCCGGCAGGGCCACGGCTTATTACAGAGTGTGTGTCTTCGATATGGGCCTGCCTCTGCTGCGCGGCCGACGCTCTATCTCTCTTGCACTCGCGGGGCGTCCCAGTGGGCCAGAAGACCGGTAGAGGCGGTCAAAATTCGGAACGGGTTTTGAGCTCCTGAGTCGCTAAATGAGACTAAAGCCGAGCGTGTGACCCCACCAATGGATTCCTCGTTCGGAGAGCAATCCGGTCACACGTTCGGTTCGAGTCCCATTTACGACTCTGAAGCTCAAAACCCGTCCTGGATTTTGGCCGCCTCCACCGGTCTTCTGGCCCACTGTGCGCCTGGTTGGGGTGCGAGAGAGACGGAATCAGACTCGAAATTATCGTGATTTATTTATTGCCTTATCTCTGCAAGGCTCGGCCGTCTTGGGCGCCCAGCGAGCCCGGAGAATGTTTTGGCGTCCCAAGCTCCAAGCCTTGGTGGGCCTGCATGCCATTAAGGACTTGGGGTCCGACCCCCCCTTCACTGTGATCACCGCGGTTGAATTCTCACCCTGCCTATGGGATGCAGAACGCCGGCTGCCGGCAGGGACACGTGCCGTTTCGCTGCCCGGGACGACCCCCCCCCCTCTCCTTTGGCAACTGTACACGAAACGGGATTCAGCAGAGACAAGGGATCGGCGGGGAGTGGGCTGCCTGCCACCCTGTTGGAGCGACCATCGCTGTTTTATTCCGAACCTGTCGACTGGAAATTTGTATTTTTTTTTTATCCGCCCGCTCGCGGGAAACGAAGCACAAAATCCGTTTTAATTCTGCCCATTGTTGTGGCTTCGACCGAAATCACGGACATCGGCTAAATCTGGATTTAGGACCGTATTTGATCATCCGATGTTTTGGAGTCCAAACCACTATTTTTAACTTCTGACCACGATTCCCGCTGATTACGAGTGTGAGACCATATATGCCCATCTTTTTTTTGTTCGAATTGTTAAGATGAATTCATTTCCGTCATCCAATCGTTCATCGTAATTTTGGAATTTCGCCTTTGTTACGGTTATACTGAATGCAGTGTCTGAATAGTTCCAAGTACAGCGGATGCGGGTTCCCGAGATACAGTGAACGCCGTTCCTGGAGGCACAGTGTCTACTCTGCCCGGGTACGTAAACACCTTCTTTCGGTAAAGTGGAGTGGCATTAGGTTAACAGCCACAATCTTCATTATTTCTCTCATGAGGGATAACTTGACTATCCCCAAATTGAGTTTTTTTATTATGTACCTTAGAATGGTTACATCATTACACCAATTATTACTGAATTCCAAGCAGTTCAGGGGAATCCACATGGGAAAGGGTATAACTCAACTTAACCCCTTTTTCGGTCTAAATTTCATGAAATGGAGATAACTCACCTTAGTCTACATGAGTCCGTTTGACAAATTGGCAAAAGGATAACTCAACTTGTGTTTTATGAATCTAGTGTAAAAAGAATCAACTCAACTTAACCCCCCCTAATTTTAAATTTCAATTTGGAAAAAAGAGCTAAGTCCAAAAATACACCAGAGTAATACACTTTATGCAGCTATTGTTTTACTTGACTTGTCTCCAAATTCCTCTTTGTTAAGGAAATATAAGTGAGCTGACTCTGTTTTCCATTTCAATGGAAGTGACAAGTCGCAGAAATCCTCTACGGAGTGACCTTCTTTTGATTCTTTTTCAAATTTTACCAATGCTTTTTGAAATTATTAACATCTGCACATCATTTGTTTTGTTTTAGTTTTCCCTGCTAACAGTTTTTTGTTTCTCCTGAAAAATGGCCAAAATTGAGTTATCCCCTTCTTCCGCTTCCTGGATCAATTATCGTGATTTATTTATTGCCTTATCTCTGCAAGGCTCGGCCGTCTTGGGCACCCAGCGAGCCCGGA